TAAATAAATACACACAGACATACACACACATATATATGTACACACACACACACACACGCACACACACACACACATACTCACACACACACACACATATATATATATACACACACACACACACACACACACATATATATATATGAATGCACACACACGCATACACACACACACACAAGCACACACACACACACACACACACTCACACATATATATATATATATATATATGTGTGTGTGTGTGTGTGTGTGTATGTGTGTATAAGTATATATATACATATATGTGTGTGTTTGTATAGTAGTCACATAAACACACACACACATATATTACATACCTACATACATATGTACATATGTCTACATATATACATGAACGAATGAGAATGAAAGAAAGAGGATAGATAAATAAAAGTAGAGAGAAAAAATAAAAGTAAAGGTAGCAGGAAAGGCACGGAAGAGAGAAAGGTGAGGCAGAGAAAAAAAGGAAAATATAGACAGGTGGATAGATATATAGAGAGAGGGGATAAGAAAGAAAGACAAAAGATATACGTGAGTATAGGTATGGATACAATGATGGAAAGAGTATCTGAGCTATTTATCTTTATATAAAATGTTATTTGCTCAATGTCCTTGTATAATGCAACAATGAAGTTTAATTAAGTCCAAAAAGTAAAGTAAGCAACACATTACCTTCGGAAAACTTGCTGAAGAGTAACATCGAGGACGCTCCCATCGGCTCTCGGGTGGCGGAAGTCGTGGCGGAGCCTTAGCTCCACCTTCCATGTCGCGTCTATCATCCCCACGAGGAGTTCCCGCAGGCACGGGATGTCCTCAGGGTCACCGCTGATGTCTAGGACCAAGAGTGACGGACGTGCGTAACTCAGAACACGCATGAATGCAGCTAAATGGCCGTCGGATATTTCTATGTGTCCCGTGAGATCCATCGCCTTGGCAAGTAATTCGCTCACTGTGCCGTCGCACTTGACCTCGGAGAGCAAATCCAGCCACTGAGATGTATCACGAATGCCAGTGGCCTTGAGTAATTCCACAAGCTCAGTGGATCTGTCCTTTGGCAATCCCCTCGGGTGAAGGGCATTGGTGAGACGCTTGAAAATATTCTGGTTCCTTGACATATCCTCTGCCAATGGCTTTCCTCTAAGGTAAAGGAGACCGGTAAGGTGGACAATAATATTCTGGTATTTAGCCAAGTCATTCGTTTCCTCCTCTTGGCCGTTATACATGGCAGCTTCTTTGGTGGCTTCTGTCAGAACAACCTGGATACTAAGAAGTTTCTTAGCTGAAGCTCGTTGACATTTTCTTAACGTTTTATTACAATCTTTTATGACAGATCTTCTGACATCGTGGGGAACATCTTCATGAAGGAGAACATTCTCAAATCCAGATATTATACTGGGGATGTTAAGTCCCGGGTCATGCGCCATAAGCATCTCCATCATGTGCAAGGCTGAATAAAAGTCTTGCAGTCCTTTATGCGGAAAACTGTGCTTTTCATTCGCATCTGTCAGAGAAGTTGTCAGGATCAGGAATGCTCCAAGAACCTCCTTTGCTGGGAGGTTCAAAAGGCGACATTACTCCATGAGCCTTTGCACTGAAGGCTTCGACAAAACTATGGCATTCCTACAATGGTTGATAAAAGCCTCTTTGCAGAACATCTTTAGGAACTTCTCAGTTTTTTGTTTCAGTTCAGCATGGTCCAGAGTTCTTGTTTCTTCATGGTCAGACAGCCTCTGAAGCAATCTTTTCATGCACAACTCATGTGTCTTTGTGAAGAGTTCTGTTGCCGTGGTCAGACTGTTCACAGCATGTGGGTCAAGGAACCATAATATTGTCACGAGGACCAAGTTGAAGGGGAACCGCCAGTGGGCTTGCATCCGACTGTCTTTTCTTGCCAGATACCCGAGAAGACCAGAAATGTCTTTGTCAATGGAGCCTGGGTCCTGTAAAGCCTGGCTATAATTTCGGACAAACTCTTCACGTCTGTTCTCTTCTATACCCAAAACCTTGACATGCATAATGTCATAATTGTCTGGTACATATCTGTTGAAATCAGGGACTTTGTTGGGCCGTGTTGTGCAGAGAATAGTTATGTCATCGGTTCTGCCCATCTCCATGATTTCTCTCAGCATTCTATCTGTTGATGAATGAAGTTCATCGAGCCCATCCACAATGAACATGAGTCTATTTTGCTGAATGCACTCAATTAGACCATGTTCCCCTTGGACTTTAATTTTAAATTTGGACATCAAAGAGCCAAGGAGGTGGCCAAGGGAATTTATTTCGTCTCGGCACCTACTTAAATATACAAAATCATAATCAGTGAGAGTCTCCATGGAGCTAGTGCCTGAGGCCCAGTCACTTATCATCTTTCTTGTGAGGGTTGTCTTGCCAACACCTGCAGGCCCTTCAATGAGCAACACGGAACAGTCTTTCCCTTTCTGTCCCCGTCTCTCCTCTGCTTTTGCAAGAAGTTCACTATATTGGAT